TGTCAGGCATCAAGCAGCTCTTGAAGACCCCAAAACAGAACACAGAGCCTACAGAAGTTTTGTCAGGCATCAGGCGGCTCATGAAGACCCCAAAGCAGGAATTGGAGCCTGCAGAGGCTTTGTCAGGCATCAAGCAGCTGCTGAGGACCCCGCGGCAGAAGCCAGAACCGGTAGAGGACCTGTCTGGCATTAGGCAGCTCATGAGAACCCCACAGCAAGAGCCAGAACCCATTACAGATGAAATTGCCCTTAAGAGGTTGCTGAAGACTCCGGTACAAAGGAGGGGAGCAGTAAAAGGCATGGCAGGTGTTACTTCAGTCCAGAAAACCCCAAAACAGAAATACCCACCAGTTGAAGACATGGTTGGGATCAGCCGCATTTTCAAGACACCAAAGGAAAAGGTTCAACCCATAGAAAACATGTTTGGTATCAGCAGATTGGTGAGGTCTCCCAGACAGAAGAATCAACCAGTTGAGGATTTTATGGGGCTGCAAAGGCTCATGGCAGAGCCCAGGCAGAAACCTTCTGATGGTGAAGTGGACTATGTTGGAATGACAGAAATGTTTGATACACCGGAGGAAATGGAGGTAAAATTCTTTCCTTAGCTTTTGGAAGGGATGTGTTTAGACTTTGAAGCCTGTGGTTGAAATGAATTCTTAGGTCTCCTAGTATGACTTCATGTATCTTAGAGCATTTTATAGACAGCTGCCTTTGCCTGTGTTAATATATATTTTCTTTGGGGGGACCCTGTGTAAGTAGCTCCTGAGGTTGCTCTGAGTGACCATTCTGACCTTACAATTCACAGCGTCATCACTTGTGTCATTTGCCAATTTTATTGGTGCTAATTTTCATGTTCTGTAGATAAAATGTTGAGTATCACTGGGCTTAGTGCTTAGAACTACAATAAAATGCTGCAAAACACTCAGGTTTTTCTTCAGTACCCCAATTCCCTTTGAGCACTCATTTAGACACTTGCCAACCAATAGAGTTAATGTTACTTTTTAACTCTGCAGTGTTTGTTTTTCACTTTAAAAACTGCTACACCACTTTAGATGGCAAGAATTGTTTGCTACATTTGTGTGCTTTTGTCAGATATATGGATGGAGTTATAAAACTAGTTGATTTCATTTTTAGGGGAAAGGATTTGCCAAGAATTTTTACAAGTATTACTATACATTTTGTATTGGTTGGCTCCATAATTTCCTGTCCTGTCAGGTAGGCATTTATTGATTATTGTTTATTCCCTTAGGTCAGATCAATAATGGATTCTCAGCAAGATTCTACACCTCCTTGTTCTAATTCCAGTCATAAACATGGTGAGTACACTTTGTTTAGAGGAATAATGAACACAAAAAGTAATACATGTTACCATGAAGTTCAAATCTTGTTTAAAGCTCTCAAAGAGCTCTGCTAATTCCTGAGCTAAGATCCCTTTTTCCCCTGGAGACAGGTGAACGTATTAGTGTGAAAACCTAATGTTAAGGTTTCCACTTCAGATTATCTTTGCAAAGACTTTCAAGAGGATAGTTGAAAGTAATGAATGATGTCTACCAAATAAACCAAAGAACTTTGATCAGAAGCCTGATCTTTTCATGTAGGAATTGGTTAAAATATTTATTTATTTTTAAATTAAGATACTGCGTGATTTGTTTGAGAAAGGTGACTGTTAGGAAAATGGAAACTCACAGATACTTTGATCAGGCATAATAATGTCTAACTTTTCTTTGTGCTCTTTACCCTGTTCTAGAAAATAAAGGAAATATTCCCCAAGGTGAAGATTCTCCACAAAAGGAATCAACTAGTGCAGACCAGTCTCCCCACAGACCAAGAAGGGGCAGGCCAAGGAAGACTGTCCATCCTGCTGCAGCAAAGCAGAATGAAAAGGATGTGAATTTAAAAGAATTGCAAAGTCTGGATACCTTCAGCACCCAAGAGGAGATGGGAGCAATCACACCTGAAAACAAAGGAAGAGGAAGGAGAACAAAGCGTTGCCTACAAGAAGTCGTTTCAAAGCACCCTGATCAGGAACCACATGGAGCTACTCAAAGACCAGGAAGAGGTAAAAGGAAAGAACTGAAGGAGTTGAAACATCCAAGTGAGGCTCTTGAGTCTTGTGTTGAAGGTTCTTCAGTGCTACCAGAAGAGCCTGCAAATATGAAACAGCCTTTGCAAGAGTGTGGCGTCGATGACATGTTAGAAACTGGAGATGATCCAGCCAAAAAGACAGGAACTGGTAACATTCAGAAGGAAAATTGTGAGCTCCAAACAGGTGTAAATAAACCTGATAGCAAATCTAATGACAGTGGTATAGAAGACAGTGAAGAAGTGCTTCTGTCACCCAGGAAGAGGACCAGAGGAGCAGAAAACACAGAACCACCGATTCCACCTAAAAGAGGACGAAGAGCTCGAAATGACCAAGTGAAACAAGATCCTTCAGCAGAACTTCATGGAACAACAAGGAGGCTTCGTAAAGACCCACCAGCAAAGGTCCTACAAAGAGATGAACGGACTTTTGGCAAGGATTCTGAGGCTGTCACAGCAGAAGAACCTGAAAAGGAAACAAAACTTGAAGTACAGGTAACAGAGAAAAGAGTTAAGTCTTTAAGAAGTACTAGATACAGAAAGCACTCAGCTGAAGGAAAAGCAGACACTTGTGGGGTCACACTTGATGAAAACACACAGAACATTCAGAAAACTGAGGAAACATCAAGTCAGACTGAACCACACATCAAGAACGAGATGGAAATATCTCAGGGATCTGAAACAGAAAATGCTCAGGAAATTACAACAGAGGCATCTCAAAGATTAAAGGCAGAGTCA